CGCCAAAATTCCCAATAGCTAGGATAATTTACAAACTCGCAGTTAGTAATAGTAACAAAGTCTCCAATGATTCATTGTTGAAGACAGGAACCACTGATGAGGCGAAATTGGGTGACTATAGCATGCACTACAGTACTTAAAACCAACAATATCGAAAACGAATGGTAACAAATAGCTGATGGGCATCCTACCAGATATGGATTTGCGATATAAACATTAGTAGACCACAAACTTACAACCTTGAACAATATTCTCTCTGTTAAGTTAAATCTGCAGAATGCAGAAAGCCGAATGAAAGTATTGTGGGTGGGGGTTAGAAAAGAACTTGAAACGGCAAAATCAACCCCCCCCCTTGACTAATTAACTGTGAGCATTGTTGATAAGGATCAGCAGCAAATTAATAGAACATTGAAGCATATCAAACCAAACACAAGACAAGAAAGAAATGAACTCAAACTAGATATTTCTTCGGAGTTGTCCTCAGAATTTTTCCCAAACCCTGCCTTAGTCTTCTTACTGCTTATTGGATTTCAGTTGCTTCAGATTAATTGAGAAACTAAGCACGATTGAATTCAACACGACTCTCTCAATATTGATCACAATTCAAAATCCAATTCATACAAAAAAATGTTGCATTAAAACTCACTGGTAACCAATTTTCCGACTCCGGAGGGGGAAACCTGAAATCAGGACCGAAATTCACCGCCACTGACGCTGACTTGTAGATTGAGATAGTTGGGAAGTAGACACCAGCATAGATATCCCGGAAAGCCGTTCCCAAGCACTCGCCATTTCGATAGAAGGTAATCTACACAACCACAAAATAAGATGGAGTTATACGTCGATTATGACGGCCTGACAGACGCCAACACTTCGAGTAAACAATGGATGTAATGAAAACGAGCTTGCATTGATATTATAGGTAAAACGAAGTTAATTTTAGCAGTTGTACATGAATGACCTTTGTTGAGGCTTGAGTTAAGTGCTACGAGAACCAATAGCAATGGGAAAAACAGTATTACCATACGACGTCAATGAGAGATTCATTAATTATTGCTTAATCGCCGAGTGTTTACCTACAATTTCACTAAAATCTCTCAAACTCTTCACTCTCAAACGCTTCCTTAAACACAAGATTCCTCTCAAGAGATTCCACCTAAGGCCACTCAAATAACTCAGGCTTTGCAACTCCCAAGCCAGCTTCCCATCACTCTCTCACCTAACATTATTAACTCTTCATTTTTTTAGATATTATTCGAGGGGTGTGCGATAGACTTACCCCCCACGTGTTACACCCAGGACAACGTATGCTCATACGGCAAAAAAGTCTATTAATCGCCAGTTGACTTCTGACTTCAAACTATCATGACCCCACTGCATGCCATATTCGACTACTTCCACAGTACTCACCTCACCTTTTTACACCTTTGAATCACTTTTCTGTTCCTCCTCTGTGTGGCCCGAAGTCAGCTAAAGGGCTAAAGGTAACTATCGAAACGCCTGACATTTGAACTAAATAAATATTCTATTCGTGGTTCAACTTCCAGTTACAAGTCTCAACCCAAACCCCAGCTACCCCCCCCCCCTCCCCCTAAAAAATAAAACAAAAAATTTCAGAATCCAAAGAGTTACCGAGCTCTGGGGCAGTGGTTTAAGCTGTTTTTCCACCTTCTTCGCATCACCCAGAATATCCTCAAAGTAGTAGATATGCTTGAATCGGATGACTGGCTAAAATAAGAGGCAAAAATTTGAGACCTCGTGTACTTTAAATAAATTAGTAGTGCGTACCAAAACAGCTTACCCTATCTTTATAGGAATCGGTTAGGTAATTAGCCAGAGAGCCTTCGGAAAATGGTTTAATCTTCACGAATTCACCCTTTGTCCCAGACTTTCCGTGTTTAACAGGGCCAGTAGGAATGCCATAGACACACTTGGAGGAGGGTATCATATCAGATGAGGAGACTTTGGGGAGATGTATAAGACACCCGATGACATCGCCTTTGGTGTACCCTTCCTCAGCGTAGTGCTTGCCTCGAGAGTTGTGAAACACTGTTCCTTTACGTGATCGCCAAGAGTAGCTGAACTTGTCAAAGCCACAGGGGGCTTGTAGGGTAGCTGAAGGTAAGGTACATAAAAAAACATAAATTCACGAAGAAAACTTTCCAAGACCACAATGCGCATTTGCTGGAGTTTGCAATAGATATCCCGAAGCCACTTACAAGAAGCTCACATCCTTGCACCTCTATTACTAACCAGAAATGTCTACTCATTTCCTTGATATTACATAGATGAGCATCATTCGGATGGCTGGTTCTTTGGGGGTTAAAAGTTGAAACGCCGTCTTACAACTCTTCTCTATTTGGGGCTGAATCCTGACTCACCCCATACGAGATGAGTCATTCCGAATGTACGATTCGCGCGTGCTAGACAAACACACACACGCACACACATAAGTGAAATATTTTACCTCCGTATTATCGCCCATGGGGTGCTTATTAGGGTGGGTGATTATTTACTTCCAAAAATAGTTTAATGAAATGGAATTTCCCTTTAACCGCCCTGGGAGGGGGGGGGGATTTTCGGAAAACCCCGGTAATTCAAATTAAACTCGACTTCAAGAAAGAAAAAGCAACTTAACACGAAGTGGAAGACTAATGTTCAAGAAGACAATGGCATGGTAAAGCCATAAAAATTTCACTTTATTTGAAACTGGGAAGCGTTGAATTAACCATTTCCGCATGAAAATTCTACTTCACGTTGTTCCGTTGTGTTAAAATTCAGATGTCATGGTTTGATTTTTTAACAATTTCTAATTCTCTTCATGCTGATTAAAATCAAAGCCGAAAAGTACGCTGAGTTAACTGAGGCATTGTGATCATAAAACTTCTAATAATCTATTTAATTTTATAGACAAGGGCATTTTGGTGAGACGGACAATAAATTGCTGAAGACATTGCTTTCCCAAGGCCAAGGCTCTAGTTTGATGTCAACCAGTTTCGAAGCTGTAACTTTTACTTTTCACTTCATTATTACTCTATGGAAATTGGGGATAGCGGTGGGGGGGGGGGGGAGCGAGATGGGATCATGATCCTTTCTCGAATTTCGAGAAGTGTCCGACAATGATGCTATTAGGTTAGCGATAGACTTACCCCCCGTGGTGCACCCTGGGCAACGTATGCGCATGCGGCAAAAGTCTATAAAATGGCAGTTGACTTTTGAGTTCAAGCTTTCATGACCCACTGTAAGTCATACTCGACCACTTTCACAGTGCTCACCTCACCTTTCATCTACCTTTGTGTCTGTCTATTTTGCACCTTCGAAACACTATTCTGTTCCACCCCCACCCTCTCCCGACTTTTTTCGCTTTGATTTTTCTTCCTCTCTGAGAAGCTTGAAGCCAGCTTAAGGGCTAATGATAACTATCATAAAGCCTGCCATTTCGAGGGACGTCCGACAATGATGCACTCACTCCCTTGAAAGTAATTCTCAAATTAAAGTGGATACCCCAAGTATTCTGAAGGCGTTAAAGCCAGAAGGGACGCAAATTAACGGAGATATCCTTACTTTACCTCCTTAGTTAGTAATTACAATAATTAAAGCCATTGATTTTCACGTCCAAATCGTGTTTTTACAAGGAAGATTTTGTTAAAATGGACAGCACAGTAATAACATTTGCATTATTACCCAATCACCAATCGATAACACAGTTGCAGGAGTGAGAAGATTGTATCCATGGATTGCGAGGCTTTCCATGCAACCAAACCCCCCCCCCCATTGTTTTTTTTATATTTTTGTTAGCATTCATTTTCATTGAAAAGACATGTCAATACGCAGGGAGTGGAGAATACGCGTTTCGAAACCATTAAAAAATAACCAGATATCATAGAATGTGCCGATTTGTTCCCCAATCCCTTTTTTCAATTCTAATTTCGGACGAAATGAATTTGGAGGACAAGGGGAATCGATAGAAGACACAGTGAGACCAACAAAGCTCTCAGAATATGCAGAAAATAAAAAAAACGATGGCCAACAACGAAAATACCTCTGACAGTTACATCAGCCTTTCACGCTCTCTATAGCTTTCATATACAGGGAAATAAAGCTGTTTGGGAAAGTCTAACTCACGATTTACCCATATACAAAATACGCAAAGAAAGAACCACTACCTACCCATGATTTGCGACCATCCAATTCTTGTAGCTGCGCCTTCAGACTGTTCCGTAATAGTTGCTTCAAAGTACCAGGTTCCCGTATGCACACTGTGTGTAGCACGAATCATAGAGTAGCCCTTTTCACCTGTCACCACAGTCTGAGACTCGGAAAGTTTCATTTTTTGGGCTTAAAAAAAAGGTTGCTTAGAAAATAACAGTACTACTGTCTATACATCAGTAAGCCAGTGATTATTACCTCGATCGTGCAGGGAAAGAACTACTTTTGGATAGAGAACGACTCGATAAAAGTAGCCTGGAATTGGCTTGCCTGCTGTATATTCGCTTTCTTCCCACTGTTTACGATATTTGGCATGGGGATCCACTTCCACAAGTGAATAGCTAAAGCAGATCAATAATGAGAGTTGAAAATTGCAGAAAGAGAAGCACAGAAACCAAACAGAACAATGGCGTACATGCACGCATGTTTCGAGGCCCACATTGTGTAGAACAAACCATTTTTTTGTTAATATTTAATTGTTTAAATAAGCCTATGACAGCAACACTCAGTAGCAACACATGGAAATTTACATCAATAAAATGACATAAAAAAATTTTACTTAGAAATGGATATGGTGTTATAAATCCAGTATTGACAATCACCATTCTAAAACTTTATGACCTTTACCGATGTTTCGAGCTCAACGCGGTGGTCTGTCTCCGACTAAGATCTCCAACGATAGAGAGTTCGAAGTTCAAATGGCAGATTATTTTGATAAATAAACAACACTTTCTTCACTTCGTAATGAAAAGAAGTTAAACGAGTCTAGAAATGAAAGTTTTGGTGTAGAGCATTTCGAAGTCTCACAGCCACAAGATTACTATAGAATAACCTAATTCATCTCGGTACCAAAAATGAAAGAGAAGCAAGCTTTGTGAAAGATTGAGGAAGCAAAATAAGTTCAAACTGACCGATAGTTTTCTGTGTTCAGTGGATGATCCACGGGAAAACCAAATTGGGTCAACTTGGTTTTAGCATCATCCTTCTCTGACGCACCGAAAATTCCCGAACCACCACCACCAGCTGCAACAGCCGCAGCAGTAGCCCGACGAGTTGAACGGACATTTCCCCCACCACCACCACCACCGCCACCTTCACGACCTTGAGATTGACCCACCTGGCCTCCAGACCCAGCGATGGAGCCCTTACGAAGGGACTTTCCCAGGCCTAAATTGTTTTCTAGATTGTCGCCGGTGATCAGTGAAGAACCGTCTCCGACACTCTGCAAAGAAACATCACTCCCCTGAATAGAATGAGCGCTGCGTTTGCTCACACTGGTTTTAAGTTGACTGGTTAGAGCACGGAATCGCTCATAACTGGGCCCAATTGTACTCAGTTCCTGAAAGTAGAAAAGATAAAAAACAGTTGGTCAAACGCCCTAGTGCTTGCAAATAGTTTCCTATTTGCAGTACAATTGATGGGACAACTATTAAAATCATTCAATATACGTGGTGACTTACGCATCAATATTAGGAAGTAAGTTTTTTTCCGTATCATCATTAAACAACTTACACTATTTTAACTTCAATAAATACTGCACTACAAAAATCCGATTATTCACAAAAACCCACTAAATACAATAGAATAAAAAATGAAATTCTAAATTGGATTTGAAGAAGTGCATAAAAATAATAAAAGGATAAAAAGCAAACTGTAAAAATTACAGAATGGCAATACAGAAATGCAAACAAAAGGCCAATACCGTTAGATCGAAAGAGGATGTAAGAACCCCACAAGTTTCCAATTAAAAAGGTGACAAAATTCCGATTAATTGGCGAAAAATGTGAAAAAAGAAGCCAAAATTGATGAGAACAAAGTATAGAAAAGTAGATGTAAATGGAATAATTACAAAGTTAAATTGAAGTCAAGAACACTAATAATCCACTCTGAATTAAAAACACAAGTAATGGAAATGCATTTTCTAAATTTTATTAAAAATACTTCTTACTTGGCACGAGAGACAGACAACACTTTCAGCACCTTCATCAACAACATTGAATAGCTCATTGCCAACCTACAAAAAATGATTAAAATTAGATTTTCTAATAAATTGACCACCATACAAGAGCCTTATGAAGAACACCCGGCCACGAACTACCAGAGCGACGAGGTTGAGAGGTAAATATGTCCCAATTTCGATCGAGAAAAGGAATGACTTCTTTTTCAAGTGAGAAATAACTCCGACCATTGCTGGCGCACATCAGATTAGCAATAACAGTCTGACACATGCTAGCATAATTAGCTTGTTTCTTTGTGAAAACCTCTTCTTGAGAATTATTACACTTTTTACACATGAAATGGTAAGCAGTCATGAAGGGAATAGCTGGACTAGAAAGAAAGTTAGGAAAGAACACTGAAATTATACCCAACATCAAAGTTAATGCATTGTTGATGGAACCAGTGATAACAATGGCTGCATTGAAATTCAGCTACCGAATAATCACGACACTGTCCACTAAAAATTAGTCCATAAAGTAGCCAAGCATTACCAATAGCACTGTTGGCCTGGTGCAATCACAATAGGGATTGTTATAGTCATTAACTCTTTCAGCTTGTCATCGCCTTCAGGTTTCGTAGCCATCTCGGATTCAACTATTTCCATAGGCTCAGCCTTAAAATTAATTCAATTAAAAGACACAAACCATATTAAATGAACATAAATTAACAGCTACTGAGAATCCGGATCGGAAAAGGCACCGCTTTGAATGTCTGACCTTGATAGTGTAATATGAGATATTCGTTAGAAAGCTTGTTAATCAAGTTATTTTGCATTATATTGCCCTTGTAACACCGTAGATTTCTTAAATTTGTAAACTTTAAATTCTAACAATAGTTCAATAAATAATCTAATATTTTGCGGCTATTTGAGCGAGTATTATAATTAAATGTAGTTACTGCTCGATAAACGAAATTTGAATACGTATGAATCTTAAGCAGTTAATATATATTTAATGTTGGTTTAATTAAATATATTTATATTTAAAATGACTTGCCTTCTAAATAAAAACTTTAAGTAAACTGTTTTTTTTGAGTGGCTTAACATGTGAATTTTACAAAATCATCTAAGGGTTTATAAATAGGCTCACAAATGCTGGTTTATAATTTGCTCATGGAAGTCGGAATTCAGACTTATCATTGTTTAGACCTACTCGTTTTATTCACTAGCTTAATATATGCATTAGCCAAATTTAAATTACAGTTATTTTAATAATGTTTGTGAAAATTACTCATAAAATAAGTTCTCGCGGATATACCTTCAGAATAGGCTTATTTTGACGACCTGAACTATAAAAAATGCAGGTCAACTGCATTTTAGTATAAAATGAAGAAGATGATGAAAAATATTTAATTATATTTTTCAATGTACTAATGTTATCTATGCTGCAATTTTTAACTAATCCGTTTGCTTTGTTTGAATTTCGTAACACGCTTTCATTCGGGAATGTCGACCATCTACGTAGTATTTAAATTTTCATTAAATGAACTTCTCACTCAGGCCTAGCTTGACATTTCACCCAAAATTTATAGCCCTTGAAAATAAGTTGTCTTTGAATTACGTAGTTAAGGTATTACTGATTCGTTCTCAAGATTCTTGTTCTTCTAATGTTTCCAATAAGGAACTTTTATGCAGAAAAAGTGTAAAAAAATAAGTCTTTACGAGCAAGAAGTATATATTTACAATTGCAGAATGAGATACTAAATTGTCAGGAAATAAAGGGCTGCGACACATGTGTTTCATGTTATTTTGGTGGTTGGATTCAATCATTTACATTTTCTTCAATTAACCCACAGATCAATGATTTAACGAGCGTATTGCAAATATTATACCATCAGAAGAAAATGCTCAGCGGCCTGCCAATTGCTTAAAAAATTCATTAGTTGTGCTATTTGGTTTTCATGATTTGGTAAACAAATAAATATTTTGATAAATTGGATAAATTCGATATTGCTTCAATAGCAAACACATCTTTTACAAAGAGGAGGTTTCACCTTATAAAATAAGTGATTTGATAATATTCATTTAATAGAAATATACCGAAAACGATGATAGGTCCAAAGTAGCTTTGATATTACATACACAGCTTACAGTCTCAATTTTATAAAAATTGTATGTTAGACGTCAAACCAAATAGACTAAATTCTTCAAGGAAATTTATTTCATGTGGCAGGCTTTATGATGGCTACCATTAGCCCTTTAGCTGACTTTAGGCTTCACAGAGGGGAGGAACATCAACATGAGATGAATTCCTGAATGGGAATAGAAAAGTGATTCAAGGATACAAAAGAGATAGACAGACACAAAAGCAGAGAAAAGGTAAGGTTGGTATTGTGAAAATCAGAACCATTGATTGGAATATGCATACAAAACAAAAATCATTCATTTATTTGAATTTGTACAACGGAAACTTAATCATATCAATTACATGTTGATTTTAATTTCCTAATTAATTGATTAATTTAATAAATTAAGGTTATTGGCAATTATTAATTATTGAAATTAGTTGCCATGAGATATTGGTTTATTATTAAACATATGATATTGCCGATTTTGTTAAAATAATTATACTACATACATTATTGAATTGGTTAAAGCATTTGCTTCTTGGTATAATCATCAACAATCAATATTTGCACATAGTT